CCTCAGAGCTTGCAGCTTCTGGGCCGAAAACAAAGTTCTGCCTCTGAGGATCTCTGAACGATCATAAGCTGAATAATAAGTATTGATACCAGACAATATCTTTATTTATTTATCATAATAAAAAGGTATCTACCTCACCAGCGATCCAATTAATACTGTATGTATGTTAGTGGAAGGCAAACAACTGAAGCTTCCTAAATTGGATGGTCCCAAGTTTGAATTCTGAGGCTGTGCGTATTTTCGTCGGTAAAAACCGACGTCACTGCCCGCCAGAGACACATACAAATTAAATATTGTAACAAAATAATCTTTACAAAAACTCCAATAATATAGTTTAGTATATTCATACACTACAACTGTTCTTTAAATAATTGTTATTTTAATACATTGTTCTTTTAATACCTAATAACTTAATAGTTCCACAACGCAACCTTGTGAAAATTTTATAGTCGCCTCTTCCTTGCATCCTTGCTGTCGCATGACGTCAGTTATGTCGTGAGTAGTGAAGCACTAGGTTTGAGATCAGTCGGTTCGCATAGAATGAGAATAGGCGTAATAGCACAATCTAATATATTTGGATTTTTCAATCAAAATCTAATGTGTTTTATTGTTTTTGTATTTTTTGGAAATTCTGGGTGCCAATGAAAGATCTTACATGGCCGGAGACTGCGTGGTTTTCTTTCAATTTCTGTGCGCTTTGGAAATCAGTATTAAAAATTATAAATGGAATGTATGAAATTACTAAATCATTATTTGATCACATTATTCAGTAAGCTTGTAGAAAATATGACGCCTTCTCAGATGATGCTATTTTCATCAATAATTGGGGGAACACATTAAAATATTTAAGAACTCCTTACATGTTTGTTGGAAATTATACTTCGTCATCATAATAGCTTTCAGAGGGTTTACTTGTAAATGTATTTTTTAATGCCCGATTTTTGTTTACTTAGAAGAGAGACCTTTTTACTGGTGTACTCGTGCCCTAAGGAAAAGATGAACGATGTCCTATCGCGCTCTTGATAAATAAATCAAGTTCTCGCCATGATGATTGTTTAAATTTTAACTACGCTGATCAATAAGTCTTTAGTCACTCCACAAGTTAAAAACACTATTGTAGCAGTAAATCAGTAAAACAATTTGATTTTGTTTGTTACTTTTATTAGTCGAATAAAATGTCTTAAAAGTGTCCCTGTCTTCTTCTGCGAATGATGGAAAATCCCCAATGAGTATGACCCATACAATTTCTCTGCATCAGCAAAATTAATTGCAAAATATTTTATAGAAAATAACACAGTCACCGAGTTTAAAACAAACAGCAGTAATAGAGCTGCATCAACAAGAAGCGAAACTAATTTCTTTAGGAAGAAAAAACATTTCAAATCTGCTTCAAAAGGAAAGCGAATTTCTAAAGACTATCTTTATTACACGACATGACGAGACAGAAAGTTGAATTTAACTTTGCCTATTTGAGCACATGTGATCTTGGTACAAGGATGAAAAAGTTTGATTCTGTTTGCCTTGTTCTTAAAATTTTCTAACAAAAATAATAAAATCACATATTACAAACGTCTGACAAGGGATGAATATTATCTATGAAGCCTAAACTCATTCGAATTTAACTGTTGACTCTTTATACGTGACCAAGTGGAGGTGATAAGTGATTACAATTGCGGCGTGAAATATGTTTAAAAATATAGTGTACATTTAGAATTGTAAGGTATTTATTTATAAGATGATTGATGTGCTGATTCACACAGCTTAGACGATTGTACTGTTTTTACTTTCTAGGGCTTCGGTTTAAAGACTGATGTGTTTGGGTTCCATCTTGTACTGGGAAAATCATGTGAAATCTGGGATGCACAATAGTATCTTTTAATAAAATAATAGTTATATTCCTTCTTTTGACTTATTACGTCTAACCGCATAGTAGTTTAAAAATTGTAACACGTAATCAATGGCATGGTACAAAGTTACCCTAGTACAGAAATACTAATGAACAATAATATGTGAATCAACGCGATAATCAGTCCAGGTAGACCACACAGCTTCTTACCTTTCTTTCAAGCCCTTCTATAGTATTGCGTGAATAATTTATTTTCAGAGGCATACTTCAAAGAAGGCAAGGATTCTGTAGTTTTACGGAAATGTGCTATGACGTTCTTATGTTTAAAAAACTACCTATCTACCTTGCGTCAAAACATTCAAAATAAAAAATTTGTTTGGAAATCAAAAATGTTAATAACAATTTTGAAGGGGTGGTCTGTAGAATCAACCAACATAATTAAAATTCGCCCAAATCACATTGTTCTTTGCACTTTATTTCTTTAAAGACCATCTCTTTAAACCTGAAATTGGCTTTTTTATTCCATTCCCAACTTTAACTAACACACACAAACCCAATCTCCAACTTCGGACGGGTGCGCTTTTTTTATTGAATTTTAAAATAATATAAGATCTAATCGGTTCTAATTAATTAAAAACCTTTATTATTAACGAATAAAAATAAGGACATCTTTTATTTCCACAGCGCGGTCTTTAAATACAGTAATTACTTTTATTCGGAATCCGCTCCTGCATCCAATAACCAAGCGATATTTTAGACCCTTGCTGCAACCCATGCTCTGCATTCGTGTTGTTGTTGCTGCTGCTGCTGCTGCTGTTGTTAGACATCGTCTGAAAAGCGTTCAGGGCAGTCCGAACTCTCACTCGCCCGTGTGCACTTCCCTTGGGTGGTTGAAGCCTGAAGTAGGAACAGTTTCGAAGCAGACTTTAGACAGATGAAGGGCACATAAGCCAACTCGAGGTGGTTGGGGTAGGTGAAGTACGTTTGGGTATTGGAAACAGCAGGTATTATGTGATAACCAGAAATCAGTCTCATGTTGGGAAGTTTTCAAGGTTAGTGGAGGACAAGGTGTTTAGTTTCGAGTTCCACAATGTCTATTTACATGATACCAACAAAACTAACCTAACCTCACTGTGTACCTCAGCAGTGATGCATCACTACGCAATTCGAAGATAGCCTTCGCGATTTACATAAAACAAACTTGAGACTATGCAACGCTTGATTTTCAACGCATTTTTATGCCAAAATACGACTCATGACTACACAATGTAAAGCGCGCGAAGCATCATCTTACTTTAGCCAGTGCGCAACGGCTAATTCCAACATTAACCAGGTGAACGAAAAATGATCTGCTCATGGCCATATATACAGCTTTAACCAATCTGATGGACTAATGTGAGAAAACGACCGACTAACTAATGTACGAATTACCGCAGTTTAGACTTTTGCGGTACGATATCACACATCACATCAGCTGCTCTGTATAACAGCGCACTGCGCTTATACAGCAACTGCGCTGTATAACAGTAATATTAATAGTGTATTCAGTGCTCAAATACTGCAGATAAAGATTTTATAATGTAGTGTAAACATTTAAGATTACAAATGTAACAATTGCTTCTGAGTGATATTTACTCTTTTTCGTTTCTGCTCTCATGCATTATACTTTAACATATCCTGAGTTTGAATATTTCTCTTTGGATAATGGCATTTATCATTATTACCGAACGATACACACACAAAAGATCCACGCTAATTACACTCCAAAATTGTGTAGTATTAACCCAAAATTCAACTTAAATTTCGAACAGAAACGTTTTCGACACTGGATAGTGTAGACTGCCTCCAGTTACTCGAGAAACGCATCACGTTAATTTTAAGTGGTCCATTTAATTACAAGTTTGACCCTGAAATTGATTTCAAGTGATTTTCCTTACGACTACATTGACTTAGGGTGTACGAAAGACAAATGTAGAGTGTTTGCTTGAATAACAATTTACTCACACCTTTTGCGACCTTTTCTGTGTATCACATGGAACGTATTCAAGTACGGTTTTATGGGTAGAACTTGCGTTAAAGATTTCTTTGCGCAACGCAAGGAAGAAAGTTGTCTTCCTTTTCATATTCCGGTTGAGTTAGATGCCTTACGTGTAACGTGAGCACTGAGCCACCGCTCTTCGAATCCTCTCATTAGCTGAGGTGCTCAGCGAATATTCGCTGCCTTTGAAGTGCCACAAAGAGCCGACAGCGCGGGTAGGACCAGTACCGAAGAGGATCTCCATCCAGGTCTACCAATCCTGTTTATAGTTCAACATAAAATATCTTGTATTTGTTAATAGGAATTATAGAAGTTATAATATAATTATCTTTGTAGTATATTTTTATTTGATAGTAAAATAGTCGTATATAAATATAAAAATGTTTATTAGAAAACGGAGCCCAGAAATGATTCCTGTTTGTTACTTTCTCGCTAAGGAATAGAGAGAAAGTTATGTAATGCTGCACGAAAAAATGGCGAATTTTAAATATAAAAACTCTAATTAAGGGGCCCTAGTAACGAAAAAATGGATAAATATAGTTGAAAAATATAGAAAACAAAATCCTTTTTCATGTGGTGTAGCCAGAATCCGTATTTTGTGTGTTCTTGCTACCAAAAAATCGAATGACGGCCAAACGCCTGTCTGTCCGTCTGTCTGTGAACAACGCTAGCGGTGAAACTGTTCCTCTAATTTTCTCCAAAATTGATATTCCCCAATCGATCTGGATGCTGTCGCGGTCCCTTGAATTTTAAACCAATATTTCAATTTTGGTCTCCATCTTTTATTACTAAATTTTGTTGTTGTATAGTGTGAAGGACGTTTAAGAGAATAGTGTAGGTCTCTTGTTCGTTTAAAACTCTAATCTTTCGAAAATTGTAAAAATTCAAAAGTTTTCCGGGATCTTCCTGCAACTAAAATATTAATTATTGAAACCTTCTCCTTTGATGTCATATGTTCCTTAAAGATAGATTTTGAGATATGGTTCTGCATAATTTTTAGAAAATAGTACTTTTCGCATAATTTTATGTGAAAATAAGTCGAGAAAATAAGCTCTGTTTTGGCACCACTAGTTGTGTAAGGTTACGCACGTCTGTATAATAAATAAACCCGTCCGCATGCTTTGGTTCAGCCGCCGCGGAGGCTGCTCTCAGCCCAGACCCCGTCCGCGGCCTCGACGGCGCCGCCACCGCTAGTGCGGGCGTCGCCCGCCAGGCGGCAGCAGCGCACCCGGCTGCCCGCGCGCGGCGCGGGGCGGGGAGGCGGCGCGCCGCTGCGCTCAGTTGGAGCGCGAGCGTCGGCGTGCGCGGACGGGAGCGGGCAATCGGCGAGTGCACGGCGGGCGGAGAACGCGGCGTCGGCGGGCGACGGGACATGCCGCTCGCGGGTCGCGGGATCTCACCCCCTCGCGGCAAGCGGCGGCGACGACGACGGCGGCGGCGGCGCGACGCCCGCTCTGCGAACGCGCCCGCGCGGCGCGCCGACGACGATGCGAGTGACGGCGCCGGGCCGGCCCGCGGGTGACCCCCGGGCCCCCGCGGCGAAGCCGGGCGGCGGTGAGCAGGACTCGACGCGGACTGTGTGCGCGGACCCCGGGATGCGCGGCAAGTGTCGCCCGTGCAGGACACGGTGTTCGTGCGTGGACGCTAGTGTTGCGATTGTGCTTGCGGTGACGATGTTCCTGGGCCTGCTGACTCCGGCGGCGGCGAGCGTCATGGGAGACGATTGCGACTGGTTCGGAAGGTAAGGTGGCCGTTCCGTAGTTTGTGTGAAGTGATTTTGAAGTGTGTGATCGCGATGTGGATGTAGAGCGAGCTGTTTTGGCGCGCGGGCGAAGTGGTTCGACTACTTGTGAGTGGCGGAGAGATGTGGGCAGTGCATTCCAGAACGGGACGACTCACATGTGCAATCTGGGAACGGTTCGTTTCGATTTGAGTGATATTTTGGTTTCACAAGTTATGATTGGTACGTTGACAACAAAAATGTTGTTGAAATTGATGTTGGCAAGATTTTCTTCATGATAAAATGGCAATTCGTAAGTAAACGAGATTGATTGTTTTCCGAGTGGATGCTGTTTTTGAGCAAACAGTAGGCATTGTCGTGCACGGCATATATGAAGTTCTCTCCTATAATGCCCATATTTAACTTCGCGTTACCTACAAATCCAGTTTTTCAAACTGTGTGGCGAGTGTTGAGCTGATACAGGATCTTGTGCAAATGTGTTTGACTTGAGACGTCTCGTTTCTGGATCAACCACAATCTCCGAGCAAATTATTTCAAAATGATTCTTCCATTATTCGGAAGTACCCTTTCGTATTCCAAGTTCCTCAGAGGATTAAAATCAGGGACGAAAAATATACCGCCGACACCACCACCTTCTTGTGAGGTATATCAGTTCACATTTCTGTCCTGCCCAGAGCGTCGGACATTGAAATCACGCCGCTTCCAATGGGAAGACATTCAAGAAGACCACACCTCGGTGGGGTGTGGGGATGGGCCGCTGGGGGGTAGGAAGGACCTGCAGCCTGGGTTCCGTTCGCGGGGCGGGCTAGCGCTGTGCAGTTCCTGTGAATCAGAACGGCCGGGCTATTTCGGTCGTCTCGCGCCCTGCGGGCCGACTTCCGCATCGGTTCCCACGGTGGGGTCTCGGCGCGAGGGGAACAGATGGGCGAACAGGTGCTGCACCTGCAGGCTCCTTCCGATTCGCGTGCAGACCTTGAGAAATGTCCCAAGAGATTGTCGAAATGGTTCATCCTAATTATTCAGATTATAAATATCTGTGGAGGAACTTTCAGAGAATGTTGCTATTTACCGAACGTGTTCTTCTATTCTCTGGGGAACACACATCTGTATATTGCGCGATTTAAATTTGTTGCAACCAAAATGTTATTTGTTGCTACCAAAAAGTAAATTTCTTGCTCGATCTCAATAATAATAATAATAATAATAATAATAATAATAATAATAATAATAATAATAATAATAAAAACATGCTCGTGTTAGTTATTGTGTAAAATGCGGATGTCAATAAATGCCTAAATGAACTAATGCGAAAACAAATTGTTGAAATGGTTTAAATCAGAAAGTTCAAGGTATATACTGCGTCACATCATTCTATAAACTCTAAAGGAAAATATTTTCACGGATCTATAATGGAAAAGTTCTCAAACATCGTTCAACAAATTCGAAATTTTACGTTTTTCTGACGAAAGACGTACCATTATTCTTTCGCGCAGTAGATACCGGCTTGAAGCCAAAGAATGCTTAGCCCTCCGAAAAATGTGACGATCAGCGAACGTAAACTTCCGCAGAAGTTGCAAGTTCAGTCATTCAAATCGCGCTTATTGCGTCCATCGAGGCGACCTTTGCGCGGGCCGGATAAAGCAGCGGAAAAGCGGGTTTTTCGTCCACTCACAAGGGAAATGTGTGCTTCGCCAAATGGCTTACTGGCTCTCGTTTGCATACCAAAACCCTGTTGCGCAATTACCAATTAAAAACAATGGAATTTACTGAATTTATTAATTATACATTTTAAATTGCATATTTATTCATGAACGTGCGATTTCAGAGTTTTAAATGTTAAAATAAATGTTTAAATGTTTGTAGTGATGTTGAAAAATAATTTTGAATATAAAACTATCAGATGGCACTATCACATCAATTTTTTTAGTAGCTTCAACGATGACAAGAAATGTGTACTCGCTGCTAAGTCGCGTCGGTGAATGTTCGTGGTGTGTGTGTATATATGCTTCTCTGGAAAAAGTAAATTTTGAATGTTAGGCGAGTAAACCAACCGAAAATGTTATTAAATTATATATCATACTTAAGTTTAAACATTTTCAATTAATTTCAATTTAATGTCTAATAATTGCAATGAAGAGTGAAAATATAAATTTTGAATGGTAAGCGAGTAAACCAACCGAAACTTTTATTAGATTATATATTAAACTTGGGTTTAAAATTCTTGAATTTATTCCAATTTAACATCTAATAATTCCAATGAACATGAACTTTGGGAAACTCATGTTTTTTGAAGGGATGAAGAGTGTCTTCTTTATCCGTGTAGAAACAAAAAAAGAAATAAAAATGCCGTAAACAATCGTATCAGTCGAAGCCGTGTCTCACCCTCCAGCGGGAGGGGAACACCGCCACCCCGGGATGCACCACACTTACGGGACAAACGCCCTCAGGGGTTGACGCGCCCGGAATCAATACGCCCTCACTGCACCATCTCCCGTCCGCTGGTGCTGCCGGGAGGAAGCATGGTGGCGTGAGTGCGGGGGCGTGGGGGCGGGCGCGGTGCCTTATGGGCGAGTGGGCGAGCGAGAGGCGTGGGCGGGGCCGCGCCCGTAGGCTAATTAGCGCCATTAGTCGGCCGCTTATCCGCGCATCGCGCGCGCCGGTGGCCTACCAGCTTGCCCACTCGGCCGCCGCCGCCGCCTCCGCACTGCAGCGTCTCGCTGTCCCCCCCCCCACACACACACACACACACGAGCTCGGCCCTCTGTCGATAAGCCGCCGCTGTGTCTCTCCTCGGGGCGTACACCACTGAACCTCCCACAACCTGGCCTATCAGAGTTCCTCCCCTCCACGATCCGTTTGAATACTTTTCTCTTTTCTTTTTTTTTTTCTTTTCCCCCCTTTTTTTCATTTCTATTTTCCGGTTTGTTTTCCTTTTTTCTTCATTTTTTGCCTTTTATTTTTCTTCCCTTATAACACCAGTTCGGGGTACTTTCATGTTGCAGTATCAGTATTACACTTCAGTTTAATTGTTAACAGTAATACTCTGGTTGGATGAGAGTGTAAATGAAAGGTGGAGCTTGTTATACTAATAGTAATCCATACATTTTAATAGTTTCTTTGGAATGTGCCTTTCAGAACTTATGAATTCAGTTTTTGATAATGTTTCTACATGTTGCTTGATAAAATGTTTTTTAGTAAAGCATTTCGTATTTCATGACGACCTTTGCCACATATTTCTCTTTAAATATCATCACGTCTTGTATTTGTATCAGCATCAAGTCGTTTAATCTTTCTTCCACCCTCGCCTTCCCTAACTCTAAATTTTGTTTTTCCTAGTTAACTGCCTCTTCGCAGCTTCATCTTAATCAAATCTGCCTTTGTTAACCGTGACCGTAGGAGATGTGCTGATAGTTATACTAACCTATAATTTGTTTATGTATCCGAAGTCTTTTAAATCTACCTTCTGAAATCTATCCTCGGAATATTGGAACATACTGGGTTGTGTCTACATAATGAGACGTATTGCTCAAGAGTTGATTTAGCTACTTATCTTTCGGGTATCTTATTGGTATAATGGTCTTTTAGAAACAAGGGTGTATATTCTCCCCTTATAACAAAAACCGGGGCTACTCCCTTGTTCTCATTTCGATCAACTTTCCCTGCCTCGCCCACGTACTGGTTTGATTTTTGTGAATATCTGCTATTGTTAATTCCCAAATTATTTACCAATATGCAAAACTATATTCATCATTTCTTTCATCATACAACAGCCAGCCACTACCTCTTGCGTAATCGTAATAATTGCTTATTGAATAGTTCCGTGAAGTATCATAAATATCAATTTGCCTTCATTAATTGCTATTTAACCCATACATTACTAATATTTCTGCAGATATATGATTTTTCTATTTTTGGCGGATTGATTTCACCATTTTCTTGAAGAATCATATAACTGACTTCTCTCGTGCACATGCCATTGCTTATTTGCGGCCGAAGGTGTACATCGAGGTTTTCCTCCTCAATTTCTGCACCTGATGGCAAACCGGAGATAAGATACGGGTAGCATTTCGTGCATTTTATATTGTTGAGAACAAATTGTCTTTTATTAGGGAAAGCCTGTACACTTTTTCCCTGCAAAATATAAATATTAATTATCATGGGAAGCGTTCGTTAATGAAAGAGAAACATTTTCCTTTAGAAAATGTGTTCGTTGAAAGAATTCTGATGTTGAATATAGATCAACGCGAAAAAAAAAGGATCGAAATCCATGCGTTAGTGATATGTCCAAATTACCCACTTTTTCACATTGGGCAGATTTTCCCGTTTACCTCGCAGACCAATTTAAAATGGCGATAACAGGTTTGCTTGTGGGCCTTGTCATTACGCACGTGATACTACCGATTGGTGCGTAACTGGTTCAGAAACGCCGATCTCAGCGATTCAGAGCGAAGACCGAACTCGAAGTCATTACGTCTGGAAATTAAGGCGGCTTCAAACCATGTTTTGTGCGGTGAGTTTTTAAGTAAAAAGAAACTATTTTGTATATTATTTTTTTGTGCTCAATTGCCTTTTAAATAGTACATTAAATTCGATTTGTATATTTTAATTTATTTACAGTGAAAATAATGGATTTTTTATGATCGTTTCAGCAAAAATAAGTCTGCTTTTAAACTTTATTAGTGAATTTAATTGTAAATTTAAAAAAAAACGTTAAATGTTAATAATATGGTAATGTATTTTTATCAAAATTTGATTCAGTCAGAATTTGAATCATTTTATTCGAATATATTTTATTGAATCATTTATTTATTTTTTAATCCTTTTCTGTATTCTGTTCATTTCCGAGAGGGACCTGTTCCTCTCCCGGAGCTGTGCCTAATCGTAGAGGGGAGAACAGAGCTTCTGAGCTTGCGCAGCGAAACAGGTGCAGAATGCTGGCCCTAACCCTTTTCTCGTGCCTCCTCTTTTCCACGCATCTGGAACAATTTCTCAAATCGTGAAGTATTGCTGCAGGATTAGAGCTTCTGTGCCAGAAAGCGAGTTTGTCACCGTGATCTGTGGTCTGCGTTATAACGTTCCCAACGGGTGAGGTGCAGGGTAGGGAAATAAAAAAAAAAAATTAAAAAAGGGAGAAGAAAAGAGAAAGCTTTTGGGTCTTCATCCAAAACCCCCCTCCGCAGCCCGAACTTCTTTCCTGGACTAGGGGCGCCCATAAATTTCACCCTCCTTTTGTTCCCGTCGGAAAAAAGTCCGGGCTTCCTAGCGTGCATTAGCAAATCCGTCTATTCCATATTAATTTGTCTGCCGCCTTCGCGGACGTTTGTCCAGACAGGAATGCTTGCTGGGTCGTGCCGCTGGTCGCCAGGGTGCCTAGTGGACCATCGCCCCCTATTTTACTCGAAAGACAGCTCCCCGCGTCGTCGGTTCGGGTTGGAAAAGCGAGGTTGGTGGGATGTGATCTGTAAATTTCCCTCTGTCTCCTTTATATTTAGAACTGAAATTTCAACCCGCATTCTTGCATAAATATTAAAGGACGTGATATTTGAACAAATGTTTCCTTTGAAAATACCTTGACAATTATATTTATGCATGTGTCTTTACCTAGGGTGTGGTGAAGTTTTGTAGTAAACATACGTATGTACCAATACCAATTCAGATCGCCCTTCACACGCGTATTAGATCGAATTAGGATGTGTTCCTAGATTGTTGTATTTAATTCCAGTAATTAATTTAAAAAATGCCCTGGGTATCTTAGAGGGTACCGAGAGAAAATATTTTTGGTACATTTAAAATCTGAATTGTAATATACCTATTGATATTCCCTCCAATTTTTTCTTTGACGTATCTCAAGTAACGTCCAGACTGCCTCAACAATTGCATCCCAAGAGAACCCTCTCTTTCTTCGGCTCCCACATCCAAATCCCATCCACAACCAAATCCTCTCTGGTTCACCGCCCGCTCCTATTTCACACAAAAAGACAGCCGACGCCGTCGCGGTCACGAGAAAAAAAACGACGAAACATTGTTGCTACTCCCATAAATTTCGGCGCCTACGAGTAGTTCTTGCATTTCTTAGGCCGCGACAGAGGCGGTGGCGGCCGTGGTGGCGGCGTAGGAAGTTTTGTTTTTCGCCGGGAAACCAGTTTGCGCGATGGCGGCGGCGGGAGTTGCGGCGCCGCACAGTGGACTGAAACGACACTAAAAGCTCCCGTAGAAGGTTAACACATAATGACGAGAGACCAATATGTAACGTATAACATTAAGCTCAAAT